GCATCTTTTCAGACACAGATCCAAGCTTTCACGGATTCAGGGAAAGAAGGTGTTATGGGCAGGGCTCAAAAATCTGCCTCCTTGGAGAAAAACTCTTTATGACTCTGATTCACAATCACACTTGGGAGCTACCCGTCTAAATCTCTCTCAGGCCTTTTTCAGCCAGAACATCCTCTCCTCCTGCACTTTTCACTGGCCTCTTGTTAACAGCCTTTGTCACAGTCCTCCAGCGTCTGCATTAACATGTCAGTAACAGCGTTTCGCTCAAGAAATGCTTCCTGTGCACTATTAAACACATTAAACTGAGGAGCAGAAAACTTCAAATTTAGAGACAGAAAATCTGAAAGTAGACAGGAAAAAAAAACCAGACATGGAAAGAATCTAGAGAGCAGAGAGATAAAACTCCCACACTGAGACAAAAGAATTAGAGACTGTCACCTAAGGAAGGCCTGGAAAGGCTCAGGTGGAGAATGAAAGCAAATCATTTAGCTTTCATTTTTCAGTGAAAGCTGCCCCTGTGATTCGTGCCATGACGAATGACGAGAACGACCGAGTCTGAGGAGTTAGCTCAATGTGCGTGCAGGGAGCAGAAAGAGAAGGGGCTGTAGGAAGAGGAAGGAGCAGAAAGCTGGCCGCTGAATTCGCAGAAGTGAACCTGAGGACGGGGCAGAAGAGAATGCGAGCTGGACACGCGCCGGGAAGCTGCGGTTCCTGAGGCAACCATACGCGCTTGAGGCAGGGGGTACAGGCGACCGACACTGACCTGCCTGTACCCTTCATTACTCCAGGGGCCTGGCTAACATGCATACTCTTTTATTTAATTTACTTTACAATTCTTTTATATCTTGACCATTTGGCTATACTTCTCTGACCATTCTTAGCTGTTACTATTAAAGTATTTAAGTTATTTAAATTATTTAATTACTATTATTTTACTATATTTTATTTATTTTTTATGAGTTACATCCCCAGCCTGTTTTTCAAGTCTGACACAGGGTCTTGCTAGATTGCTAATGTGATCCTCCTGCCTCAGCCTCCCAGAGTGCTGGGGTTACAGGTTTGTACCACCATGTCTGGCTTAATTTTATTTTTTGAGAGACAACCTCAATTGATGTGGTTTTCTAAAAGCCACAGTTCAATAGACAGGAAATTACACTATTTCCCCATACTATTTCTGGTGTTATTCCACAGGGGGGCTACAATATTTTTGAAGTAACATTTTACTCTATAATCAACATTGACTCCTAAAAATGCTCTTGTTAGGTGGAAATTGGCAACACAGTTTATTCTCATTTATCTTTGCCAACTCTTTGTATCTTGTATTTTCTGGAGTTTTCCTCATAAACCAAGATTTCTGTACCCAAGAGAGTTAGGTGTCATGCATTAAAGTTTCACTTACCTAGTTTTCTCTATAAATGATTTATTCAAGTTTCCAAAAAGTATCAGAACTGACATTATGTTTCCAGAACTCATAATTCTTTATGCAAAAATACCTATCTTACCTACCTTATCCTAGTCTTTATTTTCTCTTATAGCCAGACACAATTTTAAGTCATATCACTTTGTAATTTATCCTACAAGTATTTATCAAACACTATGTATTGCCTCATAACCAAATTCCTTTTCTGTAAGAACTTAAATTCATGCAACTTCAATTTTGCTTTAAAGAACTTTTGAAAAATAGATTTGGGAAGCAAGAAGAAAAGGCTAATTTAAGAGCTTACTCTGATTTATAATGACTCTACAAAAAAAAAATGTACTTGGCAAAATCTGCAGCAGCTTGGGTAACTCTGGACTATCTATTATATCTCCATCAGCCGTTCAACTCACTTTAAGAAAGAAAACAGGCAGTGTCAGGGATCAGGCTCTCATCCCACTTCCCCTTCCTATCGCCCCTGGCTTCAGTAATAGCAGCTGAGGCCTCCAGACATCTGAAAACAAGGAGGTGGGACAACTGGGGCCTGTCTCCGCGTGGACTCCAAGGCAGGACAAATGGGCCCCAGCTCCAGCGACTCCAGCACCGAGTAACGGGGCCCCAGCTCCACACAGACTCTAGACTGGAACAAGCGGGCCGTATCTCCACGTGGGCTTCTGTCCAGGAGGCCACAGACCTTTATGAGAAGTAGCCACAGCCCGGGCAACGCCAACTTAAATCTTCACCTTTTCTCCCAAATAGTCTATCAATATACACAGAATTTAATGGGGAAGCGTTCAGGTAACATTAAATAATATATCAAAAATCTTAGAAGACAGATTTTTGAATCTGTAGATCACACAGTAAAAACATTTTAACAACATGAATCTTCCATTCCATGAACATAGGATGTCCTTCCATTTATTTGTGTTTTGATTTCTTTCATCAGTGTTTTACAGTGTTTCAGTACACAAGTCATTCACTTTAAGTTCATTCTTAGATATGTTCTTTTTAGTAGTACTGTAAATAAAGCTGTTTTCCTATTTTCCTTCTGAAAGAAATTGGTCAGTAGAGAGAAATGAAACTGATTTGTATGTTGATTTTAAAGCCTCCAACTTCACTGAATTTGTTAGTTCTAACAGTTTCTTCAAGGATTCTTCAGCATTTTCTACATATAAAATCATGTTGTCCACAAAGAGGGACAATCTTACTTCTTCCATTCCAACTTGGATGCCTTTCTCCCCCACCCCATGAGATTTCATAGATATTATCAAAAGCATAGGCAACAAAGTCAAGTAAGGCATCAAACAAAAAGCTACAGAGCAAAGGAAACATGACAATGAAAAGGAACCTACAAAAGCGGGAGACAATACTTGCAAGCCATGTATCTGACGAGGGATTAATCCGCAAATATATGTAAGGAATTCCTATGATTCAATACCAAAAAGAAAATTAAAAACCTGATTAAAAATTAAGCAAAGGATTTGAATAAACTTTGCTCCAAAGAAGACATACAAATGATCAACAGGTATATGAAAACATGCTCAATGTCATTAATCATAAGGGAAACGCTAATCAAAACCACCAAGAAATATTACTTCACACCTGTCAGAATAGCTGTTAATAAAAATAGGCAAATGTTGGCAAGAATGTGGAAAAACTGGAAGAATGTGCACACCATTGATGGGAATGCAAAGTGGAGGAGCGGCTATGCAAAACAGTACGCAGATTCTTTTAAAAAAACTAAAAACAAAACTATCACATGACCCAGCAATCCAACTTCCACGTACTCATCCAAAAGCAGTGAAAGCAGGCTCTGGAGAGGTATCAGTATCCCCATGTTTACTGCAGCACTGTTCAAAACAGCCAACAGCCCAGATGTGAAAATAACTGAAATATCCATAACAGAGGCCTGGTACAGAAAATGTGGCGTGTACATGTAAAGAAATACTGTTTAGCCTGAAAAAGACGAAAATGCTGCAACATGCGATGACATGGGTGAGACTTCAGGGTACTATGCTAAGTCACAGAAGGACATGCACAGAATGACCTTAAGGGTATCTACGATAGTTGAGTCTCTGGATCTGAAAAGTGGAAATGGGGGAGACCATTATGGTTTGGATCTACAGTGTCCCCCAAAGGTTTCCCATTCTTCTGGAAGGTGACTGGATCCTGGGCCTGCTGTGCTCATCCGAGGAGTGACCCAGTGTGGGGCCCGGCTGGGAGAGGTGTGCCATAGGGCAACCCCGAAACAGGCAACCCCCCCCCCAGCTCCTCCCTTTCCACTCTGCTTGCCGGCTGCCACGAGGTAAGCAGCTTTCCTCTGACAGACCCGCCCATCGCGCCGTCTCTTCTTGGAACCAGCCAGACACGGACTGCAAACCCCAAACCATGAGCCAAACTGTGCCACCTTCTTTAAGCTGTGCGTGTTGGGTGCTTTGTCCCAGTGACAGGAAAGCTGACTAATACAGGCTGTATAACATTGTACCCATGGGCTGGACGTGGTGGCGCATGCCATCTCAGCATTCAGGAGGCTGAGGCAGGAGGATCATTGGGAGTTCGAGACCAACCTGGGCTACAAAGTGAGCTCAAGGCCAGCCTGAACTGCACAGTGAGACACTGTCCCAAAAAGACAAAAAAAAACAAAAAAACCTTGTACCCATAAGGCAGTAACAACAACAGTGCACTATACCCTTAAAAAATGTGTTAGGTAGAGGTCATGCTATGTTCTCATTAAAACAAAATAAAATGAAAAAAAATTTTTAAATGTAAAAGTCTAGAAGAGCAAATGCTTCTTCAAAAAGATAATATCAAGTCTATTAATAGTGTTTATCTTCTTGGTCTCACTTTAGGATCAACTATTTATATACTCACAACTAAATAACACTACCAGAACCTAGAAAATAATACCTACTCAAAAAATCACTGAGTGATGACTAAACTTTAAAAAGATCTTTCAGCATCTAAATTTTCCCTACTGACATTCTGAACTCCAAAACATGCTCTCCCTTCACTCCTATGCACACTTCCCAGGCACCATCCAAGTAACTTAGTGAGTCAAGTTATGAAGTGAAGCATCTTTACCAAAACCATGACAGACGTTTTCCCCTGCCAGGTGTGAAGTTATTCTTTCCTTCCTTAGCTCCTCCTCGCTGTACTCACCAGGTATCTTGTTGGAAGTTTTCTCATATTTACACATCAAAAGGCTTAGAATGGAACTGTAACTTGCTAGTGCACGGCAATTAGGACTTCTGCTGGAAACTTCTACAGGTGTGCTCACACTACTGTGTGCCAGCCCTCCACAAGGACGAGCACCATTTCCCCTGCTGTCCTGTCCAACCTCCAGGAGGGTGCTCATATCTTAGTCATTTGTGTATGTGGCTTTGGGAAGACTTCAAAAGCTAACTTCTGTTTCTGAGTATCTGAAAACCTAGTCAGGCTAACAAAATCACAAGCAGTTTTAAAGTAGGATAATACAAAATAAATGTCCTTAGTCCTTTACTTACATGACTATAATAACAACTGCATAAATATTATGCCCTTATAATCTAGCTTATAAGGCCTTATCTAGGCCCATGAGAAATACCTTTTTCCTGAGAAAGCTTTTCCTCCTGGCGCTGGTGGTGAGGTTTGTAAGGTGCTGCCCCCTGACTGAGTCTTTCAGCCACATAACCATCCAGGAAAGATAAGGAAGCATCTACCTATATTAAAATTAAGTAGAAATTAGGAATTCAAGTATTTACTCTAAGCAGTAGACTACATTCACATAAGTAAGTTTAGCCCATTATCCTTAAACAAAATTTTAAGGTAAAAACAGAAGCCTCAACTCTAAAAATGCTACCCACCTCTAGCTTTCTGCGGCACTGATAATCAGATCACCCAGCTAAGGCTCATCCAGTGTAAATCATCTGCAGTTAACACAATTTTGCCCTAAAGCAGAATGGACTCACGAGCACCTAATAGGTTAGCCGTCACATCAGGCTTACTCCCCCGGAGAGACAGGCACACACCCCGCGAGTGAGGGTGACGGCACGGGCTTTCTGCTCCTGAGGGCTGGCATCAGCTGCAGACCTCATGGCTAACAGGGCCGGCGCCTTCCGCACTCCAGGGAGAATCCCGTCCTGTGTCTTTTGGTTCCTAGAGATCGCCTGTGTTGCTTGGCTTGTGGCCACAGCGTTGCTGCCTTTGCTTTTGCTGTTATTTTGTTTCCTCGCTCTGATCCTGGTGATCACGTTCTTGACTAACCTAGACAACCTGGGACAACCTTCCAGTCACAAAATATTTAACATTATCACATCTACAGCCAGGCATATAGCTCAGTGGTGCAAGTACCTTCCTGGCAAGTGTGAGGTCGTGAGTTCAATTCCTGGTACAAAAACAAACAAATAAACAAAAATAACATGAAGGAATGGAAAAGGAGGTAAAGAGTATCACATCTACAACATGTTTACACGTAAGGTGATACACATGCAGTCTCCAGGGATTAAGAACTGGACATGTTTGAGAGGTCTTTATTTAGCTTCCCACAGTGCCTTAACTCTCCTATTCCTTTCCATCTGAAAATGCTTTTTCACAATTGATAAAGAATTTCTCCAAGAGTAGAAATGTACAAGAGGTACTTTTCTTTTTTTTTTTGTTTTTTCTCCGGTACCGGGAACTGAACTCACGACGTTGCACATGCCAGGCAGCAAGAGGTACTTTTCTAAGTGAAAATATAAAGAATAATAAAGAGTGAAGGGAAAAGGAGAAAAGGTGAGAAGATAAAACGACACTCAAAACAGGAAGGCAGAATGATCTCAGCAACCAGAGATTTGCTTCTCCATTTTGGCCAGAAGTGTAAACAGCTCAGATAATTTACAACAGCACATAATTCTCAAAACTGGAGTGGCATCTCCCTCTCTGAATTTGGAAAGGGTCGGCTTCAACACAATTCTGCAAAGATGGGGCTGCATCACCATCACTATTCTTACTGGCAGAAAGGGAAGTGCAGTGGCCAGCACCAACACCCTGGAGGAACACGAGCACAGTCACTATTTCAGTGAACACATCGAGAACGCCTACGAAACGCTATAGCAAGGCTCCACCTTGGAGAGCTGCTCAGAGAGGTGAAGAACGAGTGTTCAAAACGAACACAAGGCATGAAAACCCGAGTAAACATGAGTGGGCTATCATCATCCTCTTCTCCTTCCCAAATGTAAGAGATCTAACACATAAAAACTTGAACAAATTTGGTTTCCCACTGGAAGGCTTCTAATTTACACCTGTAAGAGGGAAAGGCTGGCTGACTTAAGAGGGAGGGGTAACTAACAACTTCAGGTTAAAGGTGTGGCTGCTGAAAATAGGCAGAACCAAAGGTGGGCGATCAGATTCCAAGCAGTAAAGAATTTAGATAGCTGATGGATAAAATGTAGTTGAAGAGCATTTTCTAAAAAATATTCTCAAAGAAAGTAGAGTACGAGCCCAGTATGGTGGCTCCTACCTATAATCCCAGCACTCTGGGAGTCTGAGTTGAGAGGATCATAAATTTGAGCCCAGTCTGGCAATTTAGCGAGACTGCTTCAAAATAAAAAATTAAGAAAGGGCTTGGGGTGTAGCTCAGTGCAAAACCCTGGGTTTGATCCCTAACACTACGAGAAAGGAAAGAAGGAGAAAAAGGAAATAAGAGTATGAATGACATAGATTTCAAAGATGATAAAATAAATTCCTAACTTACTATGTATTAAAAGGGATCACTGGGCAACCCATTCAGGACCTCTCCTGTCTCTCAGGAGCTATTCCTATTCCCCATTCCTTTTTGCCAATAAATTGTCCTACTCTTCAAAAAAATAAAAATTTTAAAAAAGGGATCATTACAGGATATAAATATCTTTACTGCAGTTCCCGCAAAGAGATATTCTTCTGTCCCTGATGGTCTGGAATCAGTACTGAATGGAAGCTCTCAAATTTTCTTTCCCACTAGTGTGAGAAAAGCTGTAACATTCTTCTTACGCGCCACACAAACTGTGTTTTGCTACGTGCCTTATATATCATGAATGAAAGAATAACTCCGTATGTTCAGACAACACAACTTTCAAAAAGATGGAACACAGACGTCTTACCACCAGGTCTTCACAGCTCTTATTGACTGGAAGCAAGTTCTTCATAACTTCTACATTCTCATGCAAATGCTTTAATTCGAATGTGTGCTGTCTCACACACGTATCCAAAGACACAGTGAATTCCTGGATTAATCTCTCCACTGTACTAGAAGTCTGGGCTTGAGGTGTTAACTTGGTCACTGCAGCAATCAACCAGGCTTTTGTTTCTGAAGAAATGGAGTCACTCATAAGTAACTTGAACAGCCTGTTTATAACTTCCTCTGGCTTTTCGTTATCTAAGAGGTAAGAGTACTCTCCTAATACCTAGGAATAAAACCAAACAGATATTACATCGACAGCAAGTTATACAATAAACTATACTCAGAAACCCAAGTGCTATCATTAAAGTGAAATTAACCTAAACAGACTCTCACAGTGAAGAAATTATTAAAGAAAATATTCTAGATTTTAGGTTTAAAATAATACCAAGAATGATATGCTCAATACAAAAGAAATAAAAATCAATACAGAAAGACTTTTGCTGGGGATATAGCTCAGCAGCACAGCGCCTACCTGGCAAATGCAAGGTCTTGAGTTCAATTCCCAGAACAAAACCAAGATTTTCCACATATTTGTCATTAACAATATATAAACCAAAAATACCATTAGAAATTAGTTTTCTTTTTAACTTTTTTTTTTTTTTTGAGACAGGGTTTTGTTATGTAGTTTAAGCTGGCTTTGAACTCACTATGTAGCCCAGCGTGGCGTCAAACTTCTGTTGATCCTCCTGCCTTGACCTCCTGAGAGCTGAGATTACCCATGTGCACTACCACGCCCAGCTCTTCTGAATTTTTCAACTGTCAGTTTGTACAAGCACGTTTACATTCTGTTATTACTTTCTAGCAAGCGTTTAAACAAGCAGCTCTCACTGTTAGGATGCATATGAGTAACCTGCAATATTTCAAAAAACACAGACTTCTATCTGGGCCTCGTGGTGCACACCTATAATCCCAGCAATTTTAGAGACTGAGGCAGGAGGATCACAAATTCAAGCCCAGCCTTGGCAACTTAATGACTTGGCAAGTCCCTGTCTCAAATAAAATATGAGCTAGGACTTGGGGTACACAGCTCAGTGTGACAGCCCTGGGTTTAAGCCCCAGTACCACATTATCAAAAATAAAGACAAAACAAAACCCCCCAGAGAGATGTCTAGCCTCTTCCCTCAGTACGGCGGCAGTGGGGACTGAGGGTACACATTTTGGGCAAGCCTCCCCAGTTCTGATACAGATGGTCCACAGGACAGACCGTGAGGACACTGATCTGTGTTAGACACCCCTTCTCTTACGTCTAACTTACTTAGGGGACATACAATTCGTTTGTCCTAAGCATCATTTACAAAGTGAATTGGGAGGATGAACTTTTGCTAAGTGGTATTTATGGAATATCTTCATGGCAAGTGTAAAATACCAGCACCAACAAGAAAAGAGAGAGGCAAAGGCAAATTTACAGCTAGGAAGGAGGAGAACAGCAGAAAAAGTCAACAGGACTAAGTTACGCCAGTCCTTAACCAGCGTGATAATTAGACCCATGCACGGTGACCTGCGACCTACAGCTTGAGCCTGGAAGTGGGTCCTTCATCAGTCAAACTCTACAGAGGACAGCAGCCCCCCGTGACACCCTAACTGCAACCTGGGGAGACCTAAGCAAGAGAACCCAGCTGAGCCAGGCCTGAGTCCTGACCCACAGAAACTCGGCTGTATGAAGCCACCAGGTTTGTGGTGACACCGCTATGCGACAATACAAAATTAACACAGCAGATGCGGAAATGTCCACACACTCAACACGGACTCACACAAAAAACATGACAAACAATGTAAACGTACACGGAGACCCAGATGAACACTCGCTTACGTGAGCTGGCAGACAGAAAGGACAGACAAGAATTAGCTGAGTAAAACCAAACGATTTCTGGAGGAAGCATGGGAGCATTTGGTTTTTACAAAAAATAGTTGCAGTGCTGTATGATGTCTTTACTCACCCAACTCATAACTTGAAGAAATCTCTGTGGATAAAATGCATTTTCCACATCTAATAAACTGAGATAAGACTGAACTGCATAGACTCTTAACTGCCGATCTTCCGTCTCGTCATCAAAACCTACAATCAATTGACACATCATTTTAATCTCCACTAAATTCCCCAAGGACTCTGTAATAAAAAACACTTAGAAGTCTTTACCAACCTTCTGCTAGCAGCCTCAGAAAGTTACTGGAGATATCAGGGTGCATTACATCTCCCCCTACTGAGAACACAGCATTCATCGTCTGAATAAACCACGCGTTATCAGGAGCATATGTGTCCATGGTGTCAAGAACAAGTCGCTTCCAAATGCCACTTATTAAAATTATCCTTTCTGCAGCAACTCTTTAAAAATAACCCCAACCCATTCTAGTGTAGCACTATTATCTTTAACCTTTGTTATCAAGTGTTTTCCATCCCAGTTTTATATAAAATGGATGTTCATTTATTTTATAAATTGAGTTTACATCACTTTCTCTAGCATCAGGCTTACCCACAGTAAGCACCCTATTCATAAATGCAAAATAACTGAAAGAAATGAGCCAGCTAGCTAGGAAAAAAAATAGGTAATGGGAAAACCCTCTGCACTTCGGGAAGGCTAAATGCCATGGTGAGACTATCTGAACAAGCTATCTTCGCTAATGTGGTCCACACTGGCTCTAAGACTTTATTATTTCTCTGGGCCAGGGCTACAGCACTGTCTAAGGCAAAACTATATTTCAACAGTTTCCAACATTCTTTGAATAACATTACCCACTCGTTCTTTCTTAAACAACAGGCATCTTTACAACGATGTCATACCCTTATAAGCCTGTAAGTTTCTCACTCTCTTTAAAAAGAAAGCAAAGGTGAAGAAAAGTAAACTGTAAACACCATGTCCAACTGCTTTACTGTGACAGCCGCCAGGATAAACAACATCCCAGAAGATGCGCTTTAGGACCCTGATCCTCCACCCACGCCTTCCCTTCCCCCAAACAAGAACTTTTACTCAGAGAAGAATCTCAAGCAGGTGGAGGGGAACTGGGGAGTGGGGGCGTGGCTCAGTGGTAGAGTGTGTGGTGAGCGGTCCTAGGTTCAGTCTCCACCACTGTCCCCCCAAGATAGGAAGGAAGAGGACCCAGGTCAACTATTGTTTTCCTGTTGGCAAATTGAAGAAACACGCACAGGAAAAAAGCCATTCCCCAGGAAGTCTGCACAAATTCCTGTATTAGACAATTAAAAGCTTAAAGATCAAGAATGCAATTTATTACTGGGTGTCTGAACCCAACTTGCAAGTGACCACATCTGTCCCAATCATCTTAAAGTCAATGGCTAATCAAGGGCATTTTATGACACAGGGTCCAAGCAAAGGATATTTCTCGGCCAGCTCAGCTATTTTGCCAACTAAGTTGACGATGATATATTCTTCTTTGCTCTGATGTAAATATTCAAGCATCTTCTGGACAATAACGGTTACATTCTGTGAATTCGTAATTCTGTAAAGAAGTTCCAGAGTCTATTTGAGGAAGAAAAGTAAAAACAGTATTATGAAACTATGCATGATAACACCAAAAACTACAGTAACGTATCTGTTTATAATACAACGGATTATTCTTGTATGCAGACTACTGGGCAGCCAGTTAACAGGTGATCAAGAAATACAAATTTTAACTAAAAGAAGTTAAAGAAAAGTAAAATTATTGCCAAAAAATAAATTGTAGCTGGGCTTAGTCACTCATGCCTAATACTAGTACTCAGGAGGCTGAGGCAGAAGGATCTCAAATTCAAGGCCAGCATGGGCTATACAGTGAGTTCAAGGTCAGCCCAGCTACACAGGAAGACCTTGCTGGAAGGAAGGAAGGCAGGCAGGGAGGGGAGCGGGGAGGGGGGGAGGTGGGGGAGGGGAGGGAAGGAAAGGAGAGGGAAGGGGAGAAGAAAGGGAGGGAGGGAATGAATTTGAAAGTCCAAACCTTTTCTATTAGGATAATAAATATAAGACAATTCTACATGACAGAATATGTAAACACTAAGAAGTTACAAGGTTTATAACATTTTCTAAACATGTAACAGGTGTAAGTACACACTAGTTATACCTACAGGGGTGTATGTCTGTGTGTGTGCGTGCGTGTGCGTGGGTGTGCACGTGCACGCGATGTGCACATGCAGTATTCCCCGAGCTGCCCAAACAACAGGAAACAGTGCTTGCGTCGGCCGGCAGTTCAGGGCACACGGTTTCTGACGAATGGACAAAGCCTGGTAGCTCACGCGGTTCACAGCGTTAACAAGGCCTACATTCAGAGCCTCAGGTATCAAGCAAGAACTAAGTTACAGAGACTTTCCAGGTGCTACTGAATATCCTTCTGCTGCCCCAGGAAAGAAGAAGAAAGACCACAACCAGAGCCAGCTCCCACGTGGCTGGCTTCCCAAGGCCCTGAACTAAAGTTCTAGAGATCTCGTAACTCCCAGTGACCCATGAGTCAGGGAGAATACTGACAAAGCACCATTTACCAGTGTTTCAGATCAGTGTTAGCTATAAAACAATTTCTACCTAGCCCAGCTATCAAATGTGTTCAAATTATCCTGAAGGCTCTTTCTGATTTCTCAATGCTTATAATCAGGACTTCAAGTACAAATAACACGTTTTGAAACATTTTCTTTTTAAAATTTATTTTAGTTAATACTTAACTCCATTTAAAATCTATAAATATTTAGGTCCCCTC